TATACAGCAAACCAACAGCCAAAATCACATTAAATGGAAAGAAACTCAGTGCAATTCCTCTAAAATCAGGAATAAGACAAGGCTGTCCACTCTCTCCATACCTTTTCAACATTGTACTTGAAGTTCTAGCCAGAGCCATATGACAACAAAAGGGGGTCAATGGAATACAAATAGGGAAAGAAGAGGTCAAACTTTCACTATTTGCAGATGATATGATGGTTTACATAAATAGCCCAAAGAACTCTACCAGAGAACTCTTACAGCTGATTAACCCCTCAGCAAAGTGGCCAGCTACAAGATCAACTCAATAAAATCAGGAGCCCTACTATATACAGATGATAAAAGGGCTGAGAAAGAAATCAGAGAAACATCACCCTTTACAATTACAACAAACAACATAAAATACCTTGGCATAGCACTAACCAACCAAGTGAAAGACTTGTATCACAAGAACTTTGAATCTTTAAAGAAAGAAATTAAAGAAGCCCTCAGAAAATGGAAAGATCTCCCATACTCATGGATAGGTAGGATCAATGTAGTAAAAATGGCAATCCTGCCGAAAGCAATCGAGAGATTCAATGCAAGTCCAATTAAAATCCAAGCACAATTCTTCACAGACCTTGAAAGAACAATAATCAATTTTTTATGGAAAAACAAAAGACACAGGATAGCCAAAACAACCCTGTTCTAAAAGACAACATTCGGAGGCATCACCATCCCTGACTTCAAGTTCTATGATAGAGCTATAGTTCTGAAAACAGCTTGGTATTGCCACAACAATAGACAGGTAGACCAATGGAATCAAATTGAAAACCCTGATATTAACGAAAACATGTATGAACATCTGATCTTTGACAAAGAAGCTAAAAATATACAATGAAAAAAGAAAGCATCTTCAACAAATGCTGCTGGCATAACTGGAGGCTGGCATGTAGAAGAATGCGGATCGATCTATGTTTATCACCATGCACAAAACTTAAGTCCAAATGGATCAAAGACCTCAACATAAATCCAGCCACACTGAAACTCTTAGAAGAGAAAGTGGGTGGTACCCTTGAATGAATTAATACAGGAGACAGCTTCCTGAACATAACACCGTAGCACAGACAGTGAGAACAAGAATTAATATATGGGACCTCCTGAAACTGAGAACCTTCTGTAAGGCAAAGGACACAGTCAGCAAGACAAAAAGGCAGCCCACAGAATGGTAAAAAATATTCACTAACTCCACTTCTGACAGAGAGCTGATCTCCAAAATTTACAAACAACTCAAGAAGCAAGTCTCCAAAACACCAAAGGATCCAATTAAATAGTGGGCAGCAGAACTAAATAGAGAATTTTCAATAGAGGAGTCTAAAATGGCTGAGAGGCACTTGAGAGAGTGCTCAATAGCCTTAGCCATCCAGGAAATGCAAATCAAAATAACTCTGAGGTACCTTCTCACTCCTGTCAAAAAGGCTAAAATCAAAAACACCAATGACAATTCATGCAGCAGAGGATGTCGTAAAAGGGGAACACTCCTCCATTGCTGGTGCAAGTGCCACCTTGTTCAGCCACTTTGGAAATCAGTATGGAGATTCCTCAGAAAAATGGGAATAAACCTGCCACAAGACCCAGCAACTCCACTCTTAGGCATATATCCAAAAGATGCCCATTCATACAACAAGGATGTCTGTTCCACTATGTTCATAGCAGTATTATTTGTAATAGCCAGAACTTGGAAGCAACCTAGATATCCCTCAAACAAAGAGTGGATAGAGAAAATGTGGTACATTTGCACAATGGAGTACTATTCAGCAGAGAAAAAAAAAACAAAGGAATCCTGAGATTCGCAGGCAAATGGATGGCACTGAATGAGGTAACCCACTCACAAAAAGAGAAACATGGCATGTACTCTCTCATATATGGATTTTTGACATAGATCTGGGAAGTGCCAGCCTACAATCCCATGGCCAGAGATTTTGGGAAACAGAATCTTCATTCAGTGGCTGATGGAAGAATAGGCACATTCCCACAGCTAAGCACTGAGCTGAACTCAAGAAAGCCAGTAACAGAGAGGGAGGACTGATGAACAAAGGGATTAAGACTGGGCTGGTTTAAGCCCCAGAAATAGCTGACCTGACAAGGGTTAGCTCTTGAATCCCAGGCTGATGCCTGGGAATCCAGCATGGGACTGATCAAGACCCCCTGATTGTGGGTGTCAGTGAGGAGGCCTAGGTAATCTATTGAGCCTTGGGCAGTAGAGCAGTATTTATCCCGGATATACATATGGACTTTGGACTCCCATCCAACAATATGAGATGCATTCTCACCCTGAACTCTTTGGGGAGGGTTTAGGCCCTGCCCTGAATGAAATGACAGACTATGGACATCCCCATGGAGGGCCTCACCCTCCCTGGGGAAATGAGGGGATATTGGGGGGGTTGGGGGGAAGGCACGGGAGGAGGGGAGGGAAAGGGAGAGGGGCCTGTGATTGACATGTGAAGCAACCTTTATTTAATTTAATTTTAAATTTAAAAATAAAAATAAAAAACATGTACTGCAACTAAAGTGACAGTGGAACTGACTTGTGAAGCAACCTTGTTTCTAATTTAAATTTATATTTAAAAATGTATAATAAAAAACAAAACAAAACAAAAATGTCGTGTATATAAATGATACTCTCTGATTAATTTATTTAATAAATACTGAGTTGATGCTATATATTAGAAAAAATATGAGATCTTAGAAGAAAACAATAAAGAAAGGGTTATGGTGTAGTAGTAGTGTATATGTGTGTCAAGCTGAGAAGGGGACAACAGCCTTGGTTAATTTTTATTAACTTGACATAAGCCAGGGTGATCTCAGAAGAGGGAACTAAAATTAAGCAAATTCTTCGATCAGATTGGCCTGTAGGCAAGTCTGAGTGGGCATTTTCTTTATTCATGATTAATGTGTGGAGGGATGGCACAGTCGACTGCAGGCAGTGAAACCTCTAGGCAAGAAGTCCTGGCTTGTACAAGCACACAGGCCTAGTAAGCCATAAAGGGTAAGGTTTTAAGCAGAACTTCTTTGTACATTTTACTTTGTCTTCTTCATCCAAGTTCTGCCTGGAGTTCCTGCATTGCCTTACTCTGATATTGAACTGACCTGTAAGCCAAATAAAGCCTTTCCTCTCCTAGTAATTTTGGTCATGGCATTTTCACAGCAATATAAACAAATTAAGTCGCATATAAAATGAATTTTTATCACAACTCTTTCCAATCTCACATATTCCCTCCAAACTACATGCTAGTTATTTATGGAGTCCAGTTAATGATAGCTTTATTGGCATGCATGTAAGACCAATCAAGGGAGCATGGGCACAGTAAAAGTAGTCATAACCCTAAAGAAAGCCAATTCTTCCTCAACTGGTCAAGTAATCAATTGTCAATAGGTGGTCAGCTAGGGGTCAGTACTCTTGAGTCCCTTCAAATTCCATGTTGGAACACTGACTAGACTGATCTTTTGCAGGTCATGTGTAAACAAGTACAATTTCTGTGGGTTCATTATTCCTTATCTACAAAAGTTTTGGGGCAAGGAAGATGGCTCAGTGGGTGAAAAGCACTTTTCACCATCTCCAAGGACCTGAGTTTGAACTATGGAACCACATGGTAGAATGAGAGCATCAGTGGTCACAAGTTATCCTCTAACCTCCACATGTGTGTTGCAGCACATGCAGACCCTCAACAAAATAAGTAATTACAAAAGGAAAACTTAAAGTTTCGTCTTCAGTGCAGAGCTATTTATCCCAACCTCTGATGCATGGCTTAATACTCGCTGGTCCTAAAGTTTTCTCCAATGTTTTGTTACCCCAAAAAGTTTATTGTGTTTCCTGGCAATAACAAGCAAAGAATCCCAACTTGTTTGAACGAAGATCAGAATGAATCAGGGAAAAAGTAAAATTATAGACTCCTTCAAGGAATACACTGTGTGCTTCCTTTTTCTTTAACTTTGATTAAGTTAGATCAAATAAATGATTGCTTGATGGAGGAGCTTGAAAAATATGTTTATAGGATGAAGAGAAGACTATGTTTTTATGGTACCTACAGTTTGATCCTCAAAACCCATGTTTAAAAAACTAACTACCATAGTGGTGGCTGCAATCTACATGTAGGTTAGTCAGAGCTTGCTGACCTAGTTCGTTGGAGACTCTAGACCAGTGAGAGACACTGACTCAAAATACAAGGTAGATGCCACCTGAGGAACATGTGCTCATGTTGTACAATGGTCTATACACTGATGAACATCCCTTATAGATAGGAATACACACACACACACACACACACACACATCAAAAAGGAGAGTGTCTTCATGAATATGTAAGTGACATATAGATTTATGAGGTCCTGAAGAAGTTAAAATGTTTCATTTTAATATTAAATACTGTTCTTTGAACACTGTTTATATCATATACTCAGAAAACTTTTTTGTGAGTAAAAGAACAGTGAAAAACTACAAAAGTTTATAAGGAACTTTTTTTAATTCAGTGACATGTACTCTTGCATAAAATTTAAAGATGGCTCAAGTGTTTCCATAACTTCTTTTTCCCTCAGTTGTGTGGTCCTTTGACATTTTCTTATTGCAGTTCTGGAACTCAAATGTTAGTAAGTGGTCAGCCTCTGGTCCTCAGCTATTTCTTCAACTTGGATGATATGACCATTTTCAACTATGACCAAGTACAACTGCACTGTTAGCAAGTCTAATGCTAAGGCAGAGGATATGGTCATGTTGACGAGGTAAGCAGAGGCTACATATGGGAAAACATGAGAGTACAAACTCAGGCTTGAGGACATGGAGATTGTTGATTTGATCATTGCCACACACCGACGATTGGCACCATTGGTTTGACCATGTCATATGGATACTGGAGCATCACAAACAGGAACAATGGTGTGAATTGCCTCAGGTGTGGTATTCATGGCTGTGGTGTGTGTATGCTACTGGACTGGACACGGTAGTGGCATGTATGCACAGCTTACCTTTCTGGCAGAAAGGCCCTTCGTATGGCGAGTTGGTACAGTCACAAGAGTAGCCACTGTGCTTTTCTACACATTTGCCCCCATTGTGGCAGTTGCTTCCATAGCTGCTGCAGTGACCTGGGCAGCCAGGTCTGACTCCAGATGTGACCTTTGCCCTCTCTTCCAGGTCCACTTTCTGCCCATTCAAGTGTAAAGAGCGGATGCATCCAAGAAACCCTTTCTGTCTTGATGATGTCCCTCCTAAGGGTGAAAAATAAGAAGGAAAACAAGAAAGGTGGCATAGCTATATTTCATAGATATAACTGGTAGATCACAGAACCTGTGACTATCCCATCTCCCAGAAATCAGGCCACATCCTTCTTTGGGATCTCTCTCTGGACAGAATGGGAGAGCCTGCTGTGACCATGAAGCTTTTCTTCTTCCCTTTGTGGCTGACGACAAGGCCTGCTCCTTCCCTACTGCCAGAACCCTAGAGGGGCTTGAGGAAACACTGGATGCTAATGGTGACATCTAACATTTAGACAAAGGCATTTGGTGTGGGACTCATTCCTATCTTCTAGAAAGTCTGTAAGATCAAATTGCCTCCCTTTTGTTCATTGAATTTAAGAGCTCCTTACTCTCATTTTTGGACTGTCTGGCTCTAGTTGTCTTGGTGCCTTTACTCTCTGAAGGAAGCTCATCTGCAGATTAATTTCATCTCAACTTCTTTCTGTCAACCTGTAACATTGTGTTACTTAAGAGCAACATCTTTGTGGCAGCACTTAACTGGGGTGATATTGTCAATCCTTCTGAAATTTTCTTTAAGACACCAGTAAGAGAAAGGAACTTAAAGAAACTGGAAGTTGGGGCTGTGGATGTAATTGTGGGTAGAGTGCTTGCATAGAATGCATGAAGCCCTGAATTCAATTGTCAGCACCACTGAAAATATTATCTTGGCAGTACGCATAAAAATCTCAGCACTCAGGATGGGAAAGCTGGAATATCAGAAGTTCAAGGTCATCTTTGACTACATTTCATGTTCAAGTTCAGCTTAGGAAATAGGAGACCCTGTTTCAAAGAAAAACTAAGAAAGACACATAGTTTACACAGCCATGGTCTCTGCATGTGAATAAAATATGAACTTTTTAATGCACCCTATATTGTGGCTTTCACCTGAAATAACAGGAACACAGTCAGATTGTACCTTCTGTCAAATTCCAAAGAGAGCTGTCAGGTGCAGCAAAGAGACAAAACTGCAACATATTCCTTTATGCCTATGTAGCACAGGACTGTGCACTGGAAGAAGGAAAGACAGTATTGGGTTCATCTCCATGTCACTCACTTATTATCTGTGTTAAGTACTGAATTGTTTAAGATTCAGGTATTCCACTTACAATTTCACTTTTTAATAAATATACCCAGCGTAAAGTTACTGATGCCCTCCAGGTCCTTCTCTTGAGTGTTCACCTACTGCCCAGACTCAGTATGTTCAATATGTGTTATCTGCTTATTGACCTTAGAGTTTATCTATGAGATGTTATTTAGCTGATAAAATTTCTCCTCTCAAATTGAGATTTGCGCTGTAATCTAACTCTTACAGAGAGACATCTGGAGAATGTCAGGAGAGACTCTAATAACCCCCATAGCATTGAGCAGATTTAAACTTTCTCATTGTTTTGTTCACAGAGAAAACCCAGCTATAGCCAGTTGCAAGAGAAATGTGTGCTGAGAGACAAACTGGAAAGCACAACTAAATCCCATTAGCCTGTATGCATGCCATGCTGACAATTCTGGGCAATCCCAGAAGAGACAGAGTCTGGCTTTAGAGAACAGGCATTTAGTGTCCAACCCTTGAGCTCAAGGTTATATCATGGATGAGTGGAGAGTGCATACAAGTGCTTGAGGTTTGCTTAATGTACTAATTAAAAATAGAAAGAAGAAAAGGAGGAGAGAAGAGAAAAACAAAAGAGGAGAAGCAGGAGATAATACTGAGGGTAGAAACTACGCATTGGTTATTGTCTGTGCTTATAGGCTGTCTTAGCTGAGACTCATCTCATTCTTCATTAACAGCCTATGTTACAACTCTATTAAATTTGGTCTAGAAAGTAACTACACCTGCACATATGCTTATGAAAGAAGATAGGCCTTTGAAATTTGCCATTTTAGATAAGATATATAAGGAAATACATAAATAAGGAAAATAAAATTACAAATTGATGCTGGGGTGTAGTATCAGTGAGTAAAGTGCTTGTCTCACAAACAGAAACCTAAGTTTCAGTACCTATGAAACAGCTGGGTGATGTGATGCATGCCTATAATCACAGTGTTGTAAGAAGCGAGGTAGAGACAGGCAGATCTGTGGGAAACCACAGTATAAATGGTGAGAAATTTACCTTCCTTAATCCATCCCAGGCATGGAGGTATGAATGAGAGCAGCCTCCTTAAGATCATGTTTGCATACTTGCTCCCAAGTTGGTTGGTGAAACTGATTGGGTAGGATTTAGAGATATGGCATTGTTGGAAAAGGTTGAACTGGCTTTGAGGTTTAAAAAGTACATGCTCAGCCGGGCATTGGTGGCGCATGCCTTTAATCCCAGCACTCGGGAGGCAGAGGCAGGCGGATCTCTGTGAGTTCGAGACCAGCCTGGTCTACAGAGCTAGTTCCAGGATAGCCTCCAAAACAACACAGAGAAACCCTGTCTCGAAAAACCAAAAAAAAAAAAAAAAAAAAAAAAAAAAGGAGAGAAGTGGTACTTGTTTTAGGGCTGGAGAGATGGCTCAGCGGTTAAGAGCACTGGCTGCTCTTCCAGAGGACCCAGGTTCAAATCCCAGCATCCACATGGCAGCTCACAATTGTCTATAATGAGATCTGATGCCCTTGTCTGGCCTACAGGCATGCATGCAGACAGAATACTGTATACATAATAAATAAATAAATCTTTAAAAAAAAGTACATGCTCTCCCCAGTTAGGTCTCTCTGTTTCAAGCTTATGTATCAAGACATAAGTTCTCAGGTATTGCCCCAGTGCCATGCCTGCCTAGTTGTTGCCATGCTGCCCATCATAACTGTCACAGAATCTATTCCTCTGTAACTAGAAGTGCAGTCTAAGCATTTTGTAGGTCATGACGTATTACTACTCCAATAGAAAAGTAACTAAGATACCATGTTACCAGATCAGTAAACACATGAATCACTGCTTGAGTTCAACAAATGAAAAGAAAACATTCCTGAGGCACAAGGCTAGTCTGTTTTTCTGAAATAATGAAAAAACTTGACTTTGCTTCCAATTCTGATGAGAATGCAGGCCAAGAGGCCAAACCTCAATTGCACTGTCTTGTCTGTTTCAATTTCTGTGAGTAAGTCTCCTTTAACCACAGAATAAATCAATGGCATACACAAGTGATCTCAAAGGAAGGCTCATTATTTCTTTTCTGGTGGTTATATGCAATAAAGAGGGGAGGATTTATGGAGTCCAACACTTGGTTCTGTTTCTTTTACTCTGTAGTCACTCTCCTTCGTGGATTTGAATAACTCTTCATATATCTTCTTAGTGTCATTTTTCTCCTAGCAGAGGTGACGATTGCAAGATCTATTGCACATTTTCTTGTGTGTGTGGCTTAGTCAACAAGTTTATAAATGAAAGCATGGCTGTGGTGATTTCTCTGGTAACAATGTACCTCTCAGTGTAGAGACATACAAAACTTACTGCGATTTTCCACAGACTAGAAGCTCATTCCCTTCCAGATGCTGACAGAGCACAATGTCACAAAGCATTATGCAACAGCCTTGCACAGTAAAATAAAATTGTGCTTTTATGAGGCTGTGTGTTGTTTTTAAAAAGGAGAAAAACCTATAGAATAGACTTTTTATTATATGGTATATACAGACTAGAATACATGTTGAATAATTTTAAGAAGGTACATACCATCACAAAAATACTAACATGTGAACATCCATGTACTTACACAAATGAAGAAACACACACATATATAAGCATATACACAGAGCACGCAAAAACATTTCTACATGTATATGTAGACACAGAGACAACAGAAGCACACCTGCACATATACATTTACATGCTCAGAAAATAACACAAACACATGCACCTACATACATGTACTTGTACACAGAGACAACACAAACATGCATACAGAAAAAACACAAACACTTATATACACATACATGTACATGCAACACATCATATACACAAAGGAGACAAAATAAACAGGCACACAGAGAAAAACATACGTGTCTACACATACATGTATAAACACACAAAGAGACATATGTATACACATTGTTAGAGGACATGCTGTAAGAGTAAATTGTCTCCTTCTGTCCTACGGGTTCTGGGTATTAAACTCAGGTTGTCAGGCTTGGCAAGTGCCTATAACTGCTGAGCCATTTTTCTCATACCAAAGTTTCCAGTTTTTAAAAAGAAAAAAATACTTGCCAAATTCAAGTACATTTTCCATTAAGAAAACAGATGGTGATGTACCTGCTTCCTTGCTGGCTTCTTTCCCAGACCTCACCCAGATTTAGTAGGTCCAGTTGCTTTGCTGCCTTTGCACACACGTATTTCAGGCATCACTCTAATATATTTTCCACTTTGCCTTTTGTTCATCTGACTTATGTACAGTTGTTGGGTATCTATTTTTCCAATTTATAACACTCTTTCCTAGAGACGCTCATTAAAACCAAATGACATAAACACCATTCATGAGCATCTCCCAAAGGCTATATGTATTTGTTGGCTTTTATTCTTTGGGAGCAGCCACCTAGCTCCCAAATAAATACACAGAGACATATTCTTACTTATGAAGACCCAGTATTAGCTTTACTTGTTTCTATCCAGCTTTCCTAACTTAAATTATCTCATTTCTGCTTAACTATGCCTTGTCTCTGGACTTGTATCTTTATCATCAATTTCATTCCTTCTAACTTCATGGCTGGCTGGGTGTCACTGGGTGACTGACATCTGGCATCTCCCTCTCCTTCTCCTTTCTCATTATTCCTGTTCTTCCCTTGAACCTATACTTCTCCTCTTATTTATTCTCCCTGTCTGGGATTACCACCTATCCCTCTCCTGCTTAGCTATTGGACATTCAACTCTTCATTAAACAAATCAGGAGTATTAGAGAGACAAAGTAACACAGCTTTACATAGTTAAACAAATATGACATAAAAGAAGACACCACATCTTTGCATCATCAAACAAATATTCAACAGAATAAATAAATATAAGACATCTTAAACT